ATATATATCAACATGCATATAATATATATATTATTAAATATATAAAATAATACAACAATATAACAATATAATAGCATTATAATTTTATAGCATAATAATATGATAATATACAAGTTAAAGATATATATAATTATATATAGCATATTATAGAATAATTATAAAAATTTATATCAAAATATGCAATAATACAATATATTTATAATAATAGTATTAATACTAATAACAAATATAGTAATATATATATATATACATACGTTGCGAGTTATTGCCGCAACGCACTCGGATGGACGTAAACTGTGAACGTATGTGCAGCTGGCTCACCTGATGGTCAACAAACACACTCCAACAATGTAGGGTCTAGGGTCCCTCACACCACTTTTAGTTCACTGTTGTGGATACACTTGCTTCGATTGACACAGTAGTAGACAAGTACTGTTCGGAGTTTGAGTTGAGCCCGAGAAATATGCATTCAAACCCCCTAAATCTTGTGACATATCAAATTTTCTTTGCTGATCTTATACTTTATTTACTACGTTCATTATGCTGAAATGCACCGCAGAATCAGACCCGATAGCCCCATAGTCCACTCTAGAGGTTACCACTCGGTCACCCGCCGTTCTGTGCATCTATACATTGCACACACACGTGCACGCCCCTCTATCTTTCATTCATAGGGAAATACAGACATATCATACATGTCAATATGTTACAACTTATACAGACATGCATGTCAATATGTTATGGCTTATATAGACATATCATACATGTCAAAATGTTATGGCTTACACAAACATATCCTACATGCGAATATGCTATGGCCTGTCATGCGCTGTAGGTGTGTATGAAGGGGCACAGAAGATTGTGTTCAGAAGTGTGCCTGTGTGAGTGTGTGTGAAGACGGTCCCGGCTCATGTACGTCTACAACCATAGCCACACCTTATCACAATGTCACACCACCATCAAGCATCAACGCTCGGGCACTCGTTGACAGTATAACACAATCTCTCTCTCTCTAGATTGTTTTAGGGTTTTAGGGTTTTAGGGTTTTAGGGTTGTGGGGTGTACGCTCCATTGCCAGCCGATTCGAAACCGCACAGGACACACACGGGTGCTCCAGGAATGTATCTGGGTCCGATTAGTGATAGTATGCTGTATGCGTGATGTAGGGATGTATCTGTGCCCTGCACGATATCACAGTGATAGTATGTTGTATGCGTGATGTTAGGGGTGAACCGTGCAGCACACTGCGGCGTTCTACCGTTGTATTGCTAAGCTGGTTGATCCCGTCGGGGCTGAAGCACTCGAGCGCAGAGTTGGAGTGTGTTGTAATGCATAAGCTCGGGTTGTGCTTGTGCTGGATGTATGTTGTGCGTGTGCGTGTGGGTGAGAGAGAGAGTGATAGCAGTTGCGTCCTAGATCTGTGTGTGGTGCTGTTTCGTACAGTTGTATATATAACACACTGTACTCGAGACTTGTACTTGTACGCTGCTGTGTGGCGATGTAGTGTCAAGTGGTGGTGTGGCGGTGTATTGGGTTTGGACTGTTTCACGAGAGATGCGGGTACGAGCCGTCTAAGTGCAGCCAAAGAGAAGCCGTTCCTCTACAGCCCCTTCAACAGAACTATTGGTGTCGGAAGACAAACATGGCACAAATTAATAAAGCACCAACAAAAGTGTATGTCACATTCAAGACGATAAATGGGTGTAGAAAAGGTGGAAGAGATACACTAATAATGATATTGTAGGTTAACGGACAGAAGGGCTTCATATTCAGAAGAAAAACTCTTTTATAAATCAAACGACACTGCATGTACTTTCATATCGAATACGGATACGGATAACAGACAGAAATTCCTCGTATTCAGTGATACATACATATACACGAATAAATTCAGATATGATTACTTAACATATATATCTACGAATATTATATACATATATATATATATATATATACATACATACATACATACAATATATATATATACATATACATGCATGTCCATGTCTATATACTTAAAACAATTCTTACCACCACTAAGCCACGCAGCAAAGAGACAGAATACAAGAGTACAAACCCCGAAGTCGCACACATCCCATCCACAAGCCTGTGTACAAAAACACCCTACCTTCCACTTGTTGCCGCACACATTACAGGTTACAAACGTCGTCATGGGCTCATCGGCACTGCGTGTCTGCATCTGGAAGAAGGAGGTATCGTTTTTCTTGCACTTGCCACATTGGAACTGGTGTGTCTGTGTGCGATTCGCCACATTGCCAATCTGTGCATCCATCTCCGCCTCTTTCTTCGCGCGCTCAATCTCCGCTAGGATGTCTTTGTTGGCGAGTTCCTGGAGATCGCATGCGTGCATATGCATGTATGCATGTAGCGTAGGAGGGTTAGGGTTTCCATACAGACAGACCACTCTTCGGTGTATACAGACCATTGCGATACGTTGATATACTTTGGTGCTATCTATGGTTGGTATGAGGTAACACGGTAGCTCGACTGGGACATACCTGTGTGGACATGGTGGCCAGTTGTTTGGCTGAGATGTCGCCCTCCAGCACCCGTTTGCGTAGGTCGTGGTTCTTTACATCTTGTAGATTTGAACGTCTGCAGTGGGGTTCAAGGTAGGTAGTTTTAGGGTAGGTAGGTTTTTTTTTGAATGAACCACTCAGAGGTGAACGAAGTAGAGCTATACATGATATGGTATGGAATGGTATAGTATAACATTGTGTGATATGAATCTCGCATCAAGAAGGTTGACAGTTACCGGAGGGCAGGCAGTTAGCGCCACAGGCAGCCCAGAATATATTAAATACATGGATACTTAGATACATACATACACACACACATGCACACATACATACACACACACAAGCATACAAACATACATACATACATAGATAAATTCACACATGCATACATAAATACATACATTCACACATACATACATACATACATACATCCATACTTACATTCACATATACATACATGCAACCATGATAAGCAATTGCAGAAACCTATAGCTATCGCACTGTACAAACGTGAAACAAAAGCACACTCACTGAAACAAAGGGTATCAATTACAATACCCTACCACGACAGGACAAACAGCCCAGATATGAACACAGGGACACTGAGGTGTTTACACATCTACTCCTGACTAGATTTAAACTTTTGGTCATATGTACACAAGGACACTACGAGGTGTTTACATACCTACTCCTGCCTAGATTTTAAACTTTTGGTCGTATGTACACATGAACACTGAAAGGTGTTTACATACCTACTCCTGACTAGGTTTTTGTACTTTTGGTCAACCCCGGGGTGGAGCTCGAATATGGCAGTCTCCAAAGAGGAGGCGATATTCCCAACATCGTACTGACTGGCTGCATAATATGAATACACACACATACACACAGAGAGAGAGAGAGATATGCATACGGTCAAGTGAATGTATGTAGATCAGAGAACTTGAAATAGTAGTACTATGCATAGTGAGGTAAATGAACTGAGGCAAAAACTCATATGTATATGTATATATGATCAAATGCGTATATACGTATAAACGTATATATATATATATATATATATATGCGTATATATAAATATACATATGTATATATATATTTAAATATAGATACAATACCTACCATTCTCATCTGTCTTTAGTGCATTCGCCAGCATAGTCCGGCACGTGTCGCGTGTAGCGTTGCCAGTCTTCACCACTCCCGCCACTTCCACAGACACCCTTCGTTTTATTGCGTTGTTCGTGGGCTGTGCTGGTGCCGCGGGCTTGGGTGGTTCTGGCTTTACCTACAGAGTGTGAAGAAGATGCAGTATTACAGTTAGAATATAGATAATTATGGAATTACGCTCTACTTACACAAGGTAAAGATACAGCTGACATAGAGGCATGAATAGTTGTGATCAAAATGCAAAATGTATGGATACGATTTGAAATAGAGACACATACATGGAGCTGTTTTTAAATACAGAATGTAAATATTCGTCAAAATAGATATATGAAATAGCGACGTTTTACTTCCAGAATGGCTATACCTTCAGCATGTATATGTACAGTTGAGATAGATACATAAATGGCTCGTTATTTGCTCACACCATCTGACTATACGGATAAACCGCAAGCACGTAAACAGACTATTGCATAGTATGTACATTATATTATACCTATATATGGAGAGAAAGAATTTGAGTCGACTAACGTTTCACCTAACGTATGTGCGTATACGGTTTTGAGATAGAAGGATCCTCCTATATGAGAAGAGCTCTTTTCTTAACTTGTTTCGCGTCAGGAGGTTTATAGTGTGAGAATATGAATGTGAACTGTCTTGACGAAAGAGGTTTAGAACACAACTGCCGTTGCATTAGTATGTGCAAAGCACGCTGTAACAAACTCACAAGTACACTCTTTTTAAAGTATATACAAACTCACAAGTACACTCTTTTTAAAGTATATACAAACTCACAAGTACACTCTTTTTAATGTATATACAAACTCACAAGTACACTAATTTCAATGTATATACAAACTCACAAGTACACTCTTTTCAATGTATATACAAACTCGCAAGTAAGCTCTTTTTAAAGTATATACAAACACAGTCGTGGTCAGTAGCATAGTGCTAACTCATACAGGGACACAAACTTGAGAACACGTCCCAGTTATATTCCTCAGGACTAGGCGATGCGAGAACTATACATGTATGTACCACCACGCACCACTTGGCTGTGGATTTGGAATTGATTTTGGAAACTATACATGTATGTACAACTACACACCTTGGGCTGTGGTTTCGGACTTGTCGTTGGGACTGAGCTCTCAGTGGCAGGAGGTGCACTCGCCACGGAAGGCTGCGAGGACAGGGCAGCTGGGTTGTGATATAAGTATAATGTGGTTTTAGTGTTAAATTGAAGTATGTTGTGATACAGATATATTCTGGTTTTAGTGTTCAATTGAAGTTTGTTGAGATACAAATACATTGTGGTTTAAGTGTTTAATTGAAGTGTGGTGTGATACAGATATGTTTGGGTTTAAAGTTAAATTGAAGTGGGTTGTGATACAAAAAATATTGTGGTTTTAGTGTTAAATTGAAGTATGAGGACAAACCCCCCCCCTCCCCCCCCGGACTAATATCTTAGGTATAGTAATTCAATTTAAATAATGAGGACAAAAAGCCCGAATAAAAATATTGAGGTATCTATATTAGATTAAAGTATGAGTGCAAAAAAGCCCCGAATAATATCTAAGTAACTGAAGCAGAAGGGGGGTACAGTGAAAAAGCAAGGGCACGCTCACGGGTACAGAAATCTATACTGAGATACTGGGATATGCGTATGGTACGGATATCTATACTAAGATACTGGGATATGCGTGTGTACGTGAATAGACAAGGAGAAGCATGTACTACAGAAGGATACTACTGAGACTCTGAGATATGCGTGTGTACGTGAATAGACAAGGAGAAGCATGTACAACGGAAGGATACTACTGAGACTCTGAGATATGCGTATGACACAGATATCTATACTAAGATACTGGGATATGCGTATGATACAGATATCTATACTAAGATACTGGGATATATGTGTGTACGTGAAAAGACAAGGAGAAGCATGTGCACAGAACAATATATGGAAACAGCCGGTAATACAGTCTTTATAACCACATGGAGAGACAGCTTGCGCGTATCAACCAATCTGGAGCATTGAGTACGAGACCATATCGGTTGCCATATAAAGAGCTGACAAATATACGAGCCTCAGAGAAACTAAGCCAGCATGGAGTGTATCCCTTATATGGTATGGCTATGTTACCGCTACTATACAGTTGACATGCAAAGCCCAGCCTGAAAGAAGCAGGTATGGGTAGATATAATAGGTACATGTATACTTGAAGTGCCTGACAGGGAGTAGGAATAGATATACACTGGATGTCGCCTACATGGTATAATGATGAATATATATTTGAAGTGTCGTACAGAGTATATATATTAATATATACTTAATATGACTGCGGTGAGTACTCACATTGCACATTGGCATATGCATGTGGTATTGATGTTCATCTATCTATATGTACATCGATATACATATAACACATATACACACATGCCATATATATATATATATATGCATTCATAAACGTACATTGTACATGCCCATGTGGATACCCCCGGGATATCAGGCGCGGGGACGGAACAACTAAACTAACACATGACAGTTACATCTTCAGTGTATGTTAGCATGACGTAGGTGTGATCTATGCATGCAGTACGTGGACAGGCCATGTTATATGTATGTATGCATCCTGTGGGTTTGGTGCATGCAGTATGTGGACAGGCCATGTTATATGTATGTATGCATCCTGTGGGTTTGGTGCATCCATGCATCATATCTAAATTCTGCCCGTGTACCAGCTAGATATATATATGTATATATATATATATATATAAACCCTAAAACCCTAAAACATATATATATGTATATATATACGTAGATAGACTCACCTCCGCCCGCACCAGCAATCTTCTTCCAGTCGGCTATGATGTCCATGCATTTCTTCTTCACATCAGAATCTGAAGTCGCCTTCTTAAGCTTTTGCAGTGTCTTGCCGATCTTAGTTTCCTGTGCATTTGGAACGTACGGGGACATTCACAAAGTTACTTGCCAAACCCATCATCTCATAAGCATACTTGTTAAACCAATCCTCTAGTAAACACACTTGTTAAACCCATCATCTCATAAGCACACTTGTTAAACCGATCCTCTAATAAGGCACATGGGAGTTGCGTAAACAGGTGCGTCTGTGACAGTCTTCTGCACAAGCAGGTACTACTCTTTAAGCTTCAATTACGCATTTCAGTACTTTCAGTTTGTCGTGTACGTATAAATACTCCAGGCATGCAAGGCGCACCCTTCACACGGATGTAGACGTATATTAACCAACCACCGATAGCCCACATGTACACATGAATAGCACACCCTTCACACGGATGTAGACGTACATGAACCAACCACCGATAGCCTGCACATACACGTGAATAGCACACCCTTCACACGGATGTAGACGTACACGAACCAACCACCGATAGCCCACATATACACGTGAATAGCACACCCTTTACACAGATGTAGACGTATATTAACTAACCACCGATAGCCTGCATATACACGTGAATAGCACACCCTTCACACGGATGTAGACGTACATTAATCAACCACCGATAGCCCACATATACACGTGAATAGCACACCCTTTACACGGATGTAGACGTACACGAGCCAACCACCGATAGCCCACATATACACGTGAATAGCACACCCTTCACACGGATGTAGACGTACATTAACCAACCACCGATAGCCCACATATACACGTGAATAGCACACCCTTCACACAGATGTAGACGTGTAATACAGCCACACAAACAGATACCTACATCAGGCAGTCATATTTACCGCACAAACACC